CTAGAACTTGTCCCTCATTCTCTGTTTCTCTTACTCCCTCACGCACACTATCTGCTTCTCCCTGGTTCCCATCCCCCGCGTAGCTGTAGCTCGGGGCTGAACAACTTCCTATCCATTGTCGCGTATCGCAGCCGGGGCGCTCTTCCTCGTCACGAAGCGAGATGTTATTTTTTTATTTGGACAAAGGATCCTCCTCGGCGCGTGTTATTACCCCCGTACGCGCACGCGCGCATCTACGTCCCTAGCAGCGGAGAGACCGGTCTGTGGCCGCGAGCCGAGGGGTTGAAAATTAAAAGAGGGAAAGGGATGGTTTTTACGGCGTGGTACGCGGAATATTCACGGCGCGCGGGCCAGCTCGTCATCGCTGAGCGTGTTCGAGAGATCACTCATCAGACGCTCGACCTCTCGAGGATGGAAAAACCGAGGTAGTTTCGGCTCTTTCTCTCTCTTTCCCTCTTACTGTGTTCTACACAAGCTTACGTCAAAACATACTACTCACGAAATTATTTTCTGAAAACGCCATCCTTCTTATTCAGTTACGTATTTCCGTTCTGAAACTCTTCTTACTACTTAATATTCCACTATTGTAAATTATAAATCACTGAATAATATTCAATGAACTTTTTACGTATACTTCAAAACTTAAAATCGGATTTCAAACTGAACTCAAAATTATATTTCAGAAAGTATTTAGTTTAAGCTACGAACGTATAAGTTTAACTAAAAGCGAGCAATCGAGAATACCACGGGGTTGGCGCGAAAATCCGTGGAACGCGGAAAACGCATTTCCGCTGTCCCGGAAAACAAGGACTCGGTCCGGCCGGTATCCCGGAAATACGAGCGGACGTTCCGTTTAATGGAACTAAAATGCGCCAGGATATCCCTTATACATACGTATGTATGTACCGAGCAGGGAAGACAGATTTCGGGTATTAAAGACCGTGTTTAAAGGATTAAGCGAGCTCGTAACGGTAACGCATACGTCCGCAACACAAAAGATGGTTCTGACTTACTTTATTTCCCGAAATTGTGAAAATATTCGCTGTAACAGGTTTAATCGTAACATCTCTTTGCCCGTTTAAATACAAGAATATTCTCGTAGGAAATTTTAATAGCGGGAACTGTGGAAAGTTGATGTTTATTTTGTTTGAAAATCAGGTAAAAATTGTAATGTACAATGAAATTTTCATTGAAACGTAATAATTATGTAAAAATGTCAGAGATTTACTGTTTAATTAGAAATCCGGAACACGTAGCATGCATAACGTTTGAAATTGAATATCTCGGAGTGCGTAATTATTGGAATCAAATCATGTAGCCTCAGCCCGTCCGGGTTACGCGATTGATCAGTCGATTCGATACATTTGTAATCCCGCGCGAGCTTTAATTAGTCAAACGTGAAACAGGAATAAACGATTATGCGATTCGAGCGTTTTATTCGTCGCGATAATTGCATTTGCCGAAACGATTCGGTTTGCGGATGAAAGAAAGGGTTCGGTGAGATTACTCGACACCTAGACGAAATTCATTCGTCGACGGTTGGAAAACGGCGCGGACGGTCGAGGCCGATGAAAACGTTCCATCGTCATTATCATTATTATTATATTTATCGCAATTATCAAAAGGAATCGAGCCGGGCGACGGGTATTAAGCACTGGCGTTCTAAATGTACTCGGGTGCGCTCGTTGCACTTCACTGGTCTTGGCAGCGGCAGAGTGTAATAATAATTACGAAACGATACATGATAACGAGGTGCCGGGTTCCGCTAACGACGCCCCCGTCGACGTTTCCTCTCCACCCCGCGAGCATTTCACTACCTGCCGGCTGTGTTACTCTCTTCTTCTCCCGCAGTCCTCGACGGTTTCCCCGATTTAATAATATGTACGTGCTTTTTTTAATTTTATTTTTTTTGCAAATTTCTTCATTATTCATTGAATATCCCGCCCGTGCCGCGATCTGCGTCCCTCCCAGCTACCGTGTGCACCTCTTTTTGCATCGTTTTACGCCCCGTTCCACCCCGTACTGCGAGCAGAGAGCACCCATTTCGCGCGCTTTCAAGTATAAATGAAAACCGTGCGTCTCGTTCGTAACATTATACATATTTTTTATTTATGCATTTCGAGTCTCGGTTTTCGCCTACGCCATGTTCGACGGACTTATTGTTCGAGCACACTAAAGTATTTTCGGACTGATTCGAAACCGTGCCTAAGCTCGGCATGTCAGACGGCTGTGGCTCGTGTGAAAATCAACCTCCTTAATTAATATCGCGCTGACGAATAATTGATACAGGAAAGGTAGGAAAGGTTATCGCCACTCGATAACAATCTCTGTGCCTTCCATTTCGTTTCGAATGTTACTATCGTTCTCTTCTTTTGTTTCATTTCCACTCGCTCCTATTTGCTAGTTCGCTCTGGTCGTTTCGTCTCTCTTTCTCTCTCTTTCGATTCGGCTCAGTGTAATTCCTGCACGAGAGGCGTTTGATCTGCGCTTTTGCGGAGAAACGGCGATTAAAAAGTGCCGTGAGTACAACATAGCCACCCGTTGTTATGTCGAATCCCCCGGACGTCGGGCCGCGACGACATCTGTCCTTTCCCTGTGTATTCGCTTTTCGTTCGCACTTTGCGGATTAACAAACGCGAGCGAAAACGCAGGATTATATCGATCGATGACTCGGTCCGAAACTTACGCTACTCTAATTAGAATCCTTTGAATAATTTCGATGCTATATCCTTTGTGAAAATAGGCCTTTGGCAAAACGTTTTGGCTGTTGAATATTTCATTCTAAATACAATCGCAATTTACATTACGCTCTACATATGCATCTATTAATCTGTATTCACTTGTAAAATAAAATACCTGTTATAATATTTATGTAAATTAACACTCTTCTTCATATATCAGTTATTAATTATAAATAATAATATTAATATTAAATAATAATTTTACTGTTCCAGACGGTGCCGCAGTAATTAATAACAATTTAATATTGAAATTGATGGAGTGACTATTCTCCAATGCATTTATTTCATACAAATAATTGTTGTAACGTAATATCGCGAGCAAAACCCGATCTCGTTCATCATTACTAACTACTGCCACCACCATCAACCGACACGATATTAATTAAACGAACGAGTGCTGGCGTCTCGTTAAAAAATTCTCATGCCTCACATGAAAAAACTTGTTTCCCATTATCGCGACATAGTTTAAAAGCGATATTCATGATCCCATACTTCTCACCCGACGTAGTCTAAGCGATTACGATTTTCATCTCTCTGATCAGACAGATACATCATTGCAGATACGTTTCAGGAATTTTCTGCTCTGTATGTATTTCAGAGAACTCGTTATCATTAAACGCGGTCTCTTTTACTTTGATAAAAGCGATAGGGAGTAGATCGTAACGATAAGGGGACAGTGTTATATCATTCAATTGTTGCAAACTTATGAACGTATGATCAAAGCGATCTATAGTTAGACCTCTGTGGTTAAACAATATAGTAATATATACATATATGTGACGCGTGCATTTAATATTCACTGCTTTTATGTGAAACTATTGAGTAGAATAACTGAACAATGATATGTAAAGATATATGTACGTACAAGTTGCCATACATATTCCAAACGCCATGTTTTGATTCATACTTTCAATTCGTTTTAAGACACGAATTCTTCTTATTCTAAATGAAATACATAAAATAAATAGCAAAGCGGACTCACATTGAATGTCGATTTTTGCTGGTGAACTCTCAATAGAATATCCAGTTTCCTCATGTGTAGCGACGCAGACGAAGTTCCCGCTGTCGAGGATCCGATTGACCCTGGTGATCCTGAGATCGCCTCCATCCTGGTGTCTCCTCGGACTCGGTGCGAGCGGCTGGCCATCGATTTTCCACGAGTATTTCACTCGTGAACTCGACTGCGCCTCGCATCTGAGTCGCACCGGCGATCCCTCGACAACCGAGTGCTCACCGGGACTCACCGAGAAGTATAGGTCGCCGTCCTGGCCAAACACCGGTCCCACTGCGCAAACATGTCGATCAAACGTTAGCTACCGCGGTACGATACAATTACTATCTCGGTTGGATGGGAAAACAAAGTTATCGGACATTTAATTATCATGCCAGTACACACGGTGGAGATTAATGAAGGAATGTCGTATTGAAATACAGCAAGTACCATCCACAATTATAATCTGATACTTTGATTGCAATTAAAAAATAAAAATTATTTAATGTCACTTTAATACTAGACAAATGAATTTAGAAATAAAATTGCTTATTATGTTCAGTGTCTTTTCTTGTTCGAATCAAAGCGAGCCTCCGGCTTCATACGCGTGAATCTCATTGAGTGAAGGGTTATGCGTATCGATTTCATCTCGTTTACGTTCAGTCTGACACCCCGGATCACACGCGGATCACGATTGACAGACCCGTTAGTCTATCGTTATTAAAAATCCAGTAATTATCGCGCCCGGGGAACAATCGTACGATAAACAGCGACTAGGGAACGCTTTGAAGCGGATCCTGACAAGGATGGGGTAAGTACTTCGAATGCGGAGGCCTCATTAAGCTGATTGATAATTAGCATGGGGCTATGGGTATTGTACCCATGTCCTTTGATTACCGCGGGCAGAAAAATATCTCCCCGCCACCGTTTAATGCGATTTTATTTTTGTTCCTATCGCGCGACTCGCGACGCGGTACCTACCTCCAATCAGTTTTCTCAGAGCACAAATGTATTTCCCCGGAGTAATTCCGCTCAATTTAGCCGATTGCGGGGAATATCTGTGCGTAACATGACGACAATTCATCGAGCGAAGAGAAGGATGAGGTTAATATTCAAATGAGATCCGCGGAAACAATTGATTATAATGTTCTGCTCCTGTTATTAATAAACAGAACTCTATTTAAATGCAAAGACAAGATTTAATCAGCGACTGATTAAAATTGCTTTAAAACAAACAGTAAAGTAGAAAATAACAAGGAGAGATTAAAAAAAATGAAGTAATCAGATTACAAGGGGTGGCAGGAATGCCAAAGAAAATGATAGTAACATTACTAACTGATAGCTATTTATAATATCTCTACGAATCGAGTTGCATTTTAAGTCATGCATACACGGACAGACTATATGAACTGCCCATTTTTTAATCGTTCGGCAATAGTAGACAGAACAGTACGCTTTTACTGGCTACGCCTATTCCGAACAAACGCTGACAACGATCTGCAAATAGTAGTCGGCTGTGCAAATTAAACAAACCACGTTCATTGTGTCGGGGAACGACGCAGCGCAAGGGAGAAAACACGGTTAGAGAAAAAAAAAAATGGTGAAAAAGTAGTAACAAGAATCATCTGCTCGAACATATTTTTTTCGGTCGCTTCCGCGTTGTTACCGCTTCCGCATTGCACAAAAAAAATTCGTACGATATCACATTCGAACTCTCGACTGAAAACTCTACACAGGGTGTTCCCAGAATGCACAGCTTTCCCCTCAGGGTGCCATTTTTAATCAAAAGTTCCTCTTCTTCTTTTTCCTCTAATCGCTATTAACAAAGTTATTAACCGAAAAAGTGGACGAATGACGTGTCCGAATACAACTGCTGCTCATTGTCAGTGGAAGATTGCGCGGAGCGGAAGCTCGCACTACTGAATAGATCTGGAATACTGAAAACCATTGAGCGTGATACACCGTTGCTCCACTTTTTTATTAATAACTTTGTTAATACTGACTGAAAGAAAAAAAACGAAGAATGTCTTACTCAGAACTTTATACTTTTTCTCACCCTCAGAGAAAAACCGTGTGCATTGAGGGACACCCTATATACATACACATACTGCCCCACGTGTGCATCGGCCGAATGCACCAGCGATTTCGCAAACATTGAGTAGCGCTCCCATACCCTGTTACCTGCACAACGACTCTCGATGAATCTGTATCACGAATAAAAATACACTTTGAACTCCGCGATTACACAGTACGAATTTTTCTTCCTTCCTACCACTTTTATTCCTCTCGTGTACAAATTATTTTTATTTTATTTACGAAAAACAACGCGTCACAAATTGGAAATAAAATTGATAACATCAAGGAAAACAACAAATTCATAAATGAAATAAAACATCGAGACTGATGTACTATTTGAGATAGAAATTGAAAGATCGTGGAATAAATCAGACAAACAATTTATGCGAACAATCGTCTCATCTTGAATGGTTTCGAGTAGATCAAAAGGGACTGAAAATTCGGTGCACGTTGCCGGAGCGGAATTCCAAGACGCCGCGTCGAGCTAAGTGGGCAACTCGAGAAGTCGGCGAAGGGAATCTCGACGAGTTTCAAATGCCATCCGGCTAATGATTTTTCGATTTTAACGAGCCGATCGTTAACATCAGACAGGCTCGAGCGCGCTAACGAAAAGAAATTTCGAGTCTTCGTAACGAGATGAGTTCCGCTCGACGAGGTACCTACAACTTTCGTTCTTTCCTTCCTTTCTGCTAAAAGATCGCGCGCCGCGAATAATAATCAAACGGCGCGGAGTGTAGATCTCTCTGTTCGCTCAATTCCCCGACCTTCTTTCAACCATTCAATCAGTGAAGCTGCTTATATTGTATATTATAGTAGGTTGGTCCACACAGAACACGATTTTCTTTCTAAAGTTTTATCGTCGGGTATGATCAGGGATTACATGGAAAAGTATATACATAGAATTTGTACTATAAAGACTAATTTTGTGATAATGTGGTTTAGAAAGCTTAAGACTAACAATCATTAATACTTATATGAAATTATTTAATCGTTTGTGTAAAGCGACTGATAAATTATTTGGATTAAATATTTATTATGACAGCAGACAACGAATGTGTTGACATAAACTTAGGTATTAAATTGTATTTTTCCATATTTTAATGCGATCTCTTTTGTATAAAAAAATTCTTTATGATATTATCTTCTCTCAATTCAATTAATTGGATAGATGACAGTAAATGGATCTTTTACCGTAGTATAAAGATAAATAAAGCTGCACAGAAAGTATTAGAAGACCGCAGATTTCCCATCTCTGATATATGACATTGGCTCAGGAACTATATTTACTATTTTCGAAGAAAACGAAATTTCATATAAATCAAATAAAATAGCTTCGTTTGAAGTTGGCCGGAAGTGGATGAACCACGTAAAGAAAGGAACCGACTCTTTCGCTCTGCGATGTTCCCGTGAGTTTACGTGCCGATGCGATTTTCGTTGCGTTTTCGAGCGTCACGCGAGAATCAGAAGATCGTACTGCTTGTGTAAACCTCGTAAAAGCGGCACGAAGAACAGCTGCAACCGAAGAGCGAAACGCGGGCCGAAACGAAACCAAACGTAGGGACCGTTTTGCCACGGGGAGGAAAGTAATCTCGAGAGTAGGTCGTAAAAGCGGTCGTGTTTACCCCTTGCGGAGGTTCCAGGATCGGTGACCGACGACCGTGGAATTCTTTTTTTAGGATTCGGCTGCCTTTCGCGTAGCTCGTAAGGCTCGTTTCAAAGGGAACGCGACTTTCTCCCGGTTTCCGTTATTAACCCTTGCCTCGTCCAGGAATAATTGTCCAGATAATTAAATCTGTGTAAATTAATAAAAATATGAATACATACTTGTAACTGATTTGGCGTGTACATGAATGCATAGAAATTTAAGTTTTATAATAACACTTTCTAATTTTGGTCGACTGACGATTGCATACGATTTCTTGCTTACGTCATCTGATTGATTGAAGAAATAATAGATGAGATATGAGAGACGAGGGAGACAATGATCATTCACTACAGAATAACATGAGAACAAGGTTAACAGTCTGGAAATTTCATAACAAGAAACGAAAATTACCAATAAATTATAGAATATTGCAGGTATCTGCCATTTAGCAAATCACGATTGGCCAGAGTTAATCTTGACCTAGGGCGAGATAATAATAGGGAGTCAGGCAAATTCTAAAGACGGAAGAACCCACGGAGGAGGGAAGGAATGCTTTCATGCAGACCGGCAATTAGATAAAGCGCCCGAAGACAAATAAAAAAGAACGAAGGGCCCACTGGGATAGATTTATAGCCGGACGTTATGGGTCCGACCGTTGTCGGGGGTTAACGGTTCCTACGACCTCTGTTTCGAATCGCGCGAAGCCCAGAACGTTGATCGGCTTCCGCGAATCGGGGATCGGAACTGCGTGAACGATACAGAGAAAATTCCAGTGATTAAGACATCGCCCAGTACGATGTCTCAATAACTAACTAGGGAAACAATAAAAAAAAACATATAATATGGAAATGCACATTTATATATTAAAAAACGTTATATCACATAAACGCACGATGCAATTACATAGGAAACATTATATGTATACAATAAACTGTTGGTACAGAATAATCAAAATTATAGCACGTTTCGAACTTTCTTTAAATCGCTTATTATTATATATTAAATATATTTGAAATATTAAATATTAAATGTTATATTAAATATTTGAAAGAAAATATGAAATTCTCAATATTATTATTTCGTACGTACTAAGTGTTACATTCGTATTGCTTACTGGCAAACAATAAGAATGTTATTAAAAAATAAGATCAAAATTAAATTATGATTTTTTAAATTTCTGCTCACTCTATCCCACACTGCGAGAGAGGTCGTCATGTTTCGAGTCTCTTCAAAAAGACGAGAGAAACGCGAGATCGTGTCATGTCGATGAGGTTGAGGTCGAGGGCCCCGACCAATTTGTGCCGAAACACGAAACCCAATGTTGTTTCGAGTTCACGATCATTAGGATCCCAGCACCATTTAATTAATTACCTTTTGAAATGAGTCGCGTTCGCGCCGCAAACGCGCGCGTTTCGGAAACGCAACAATCGATTATCGTCCGTTCACAGAGGGAATTCGATCTACCCACACTGAACAAACTGTCTCGATGAGCCCTTCCGATTCTATTGCACAAATGCACTGTTACGTATAACACAGAGAATTTGGCAAACAAACTGATCAATGATATTTTACTTCACGTTACGCCCGGACATATGCTTTTCGTGAAAATCCGTAGCTTGTAAATAATCACGCGAGTGGAATCTACTTTTCATTATAAATGACAGATGTTAATTAAATTACAACATCATATCAATTTAATTCGAACTGTAACGTGTAGACGTACCTGCCCACAGATTGATTATTTATAATATTATCGGCAATATACAATATACGTATCTTTAAATAATTTATCAATTTATTTTGGGGAATTTACAAATACGTTCAGCTTATCAACGGGCGAGGTGACGTTTTGAAAGCACGTTTGGTCAACACGAGAGGACGTACGTCCGTTCGAATTCAACGAGTGTAAGCGCAAGATGCATAATTCATTGCGCGTGCACGAAGAACGCGCTCGCTTAATCGCATCACGCGAGTTGCAGCCGACGAACCGCGCACGCGGACTTCACGCGTAACCGTGTAAGCAGATTCGCGGTACCGCGCCGCGCCGCCACAAAACTCGTCAATGCGAATGAAAAGAAAAAAATCGTGGTTCCGTGGAACGGTTGCCGGGTTCGCGTGTATAGGGAATTTTCACGGGGTCCTAGACAGTACGCTGCGCTGCACACCGGTGCAAATTGTGTTCGGAATGCCGCCTTCCAGACGCTTCCCGAGCACCGTGAAATTCACCCACACACCCGCCCGTTCTTTCCCTCTTCCTCGGTTTTTCACGATTCTGAATAACCGCTGAAAGTTATCCCTTTCTTCGTTCGCGGGGTGTCGAGACAAGACGCGAGGCGAGTCTTATTTGAAAAATAAAAAAGAGGAAAAAGGGGAAACGGAGTAGAAGAAAAGCAGGAGGAGAACAGAAAGAGGCTGGCCAAGGAGACTGCGAAGAAAGGGGCTGGTTGAGTACGGAGGAAGAAGACGCGTGAGGATCACCGAGTTAGAGTAGCGACGCCCTTTTGACAGTGAGAAAAGTGACGGCACTCTGTCGCGCTTCGTAGTGACCGACACAAAAGGCGAACGACGACGAATTAGTGAGTGGTAACGCGCGGAAACGTCTCCTTCGCACTTGAAATTTCTTATATCGCGGGTCGTTAAAATGCAGTCAGTACCTTCAAAATTTCTTGCACGTATAGCGAGCGTCTCGTTTCGTGATCGGATAAAGCTGTCATGAAAATGTGCCGAGCTATGTGATAATTAAAACTTCGCTATGCATACAAAAATTCCGACTTGTTAGCCTGAATCCCTTAAATTACAGAATTGCAATAATGTATTAAAGGTAACGAGCTGAAATTTTTACTGAATGTGGAGAGCTGTAACGCGACGCGGAGCTTTTTAATGGAGTTTCCAGTTTTCTTGAAAAAATTGGTCTCTTTACGTTCTTGCCAGGCCGAGCGTAGGAAGGGGGGGCGTTTTACGCGTGACGCGATGAAAAGTGAAACCCGTCGAGTTTATTATCTATTTATTCTACTGCTCGTAAAACTAACATTTCCAGACGCGGGAGAGCGGGCTGTTAGAATCGCGTTATCGAGCTCGGGAACGTTTCTAAATACAAAATCCTAAAAACGCGGTTGGTACACGCGCTTGAAAAGCGAAACGGTACACGAGTGACGGAAAATGTTCGGAGTTCGCGACTTTTTTTTCCTGTCGAAAGGGGAACACTCCACCCGATTCGGGACAGAGAGAGAGAGAGAGAGAGAGATGAAAAGTGAAGGAGAATACACGATAGAGAGGTACTCGTGTAAAAAATTGAAAAATCGAAAGGTTTCCGAAGGGTGATACGCATGGGATGGTGCAAGGGTAGGTATTCACGTGGACGAATCAAAGGGAATTCGTCGAACGGAAAAGGCCGATCGAGGCCTCGGAGCCACGAGTGGTTGGCATATTTCAGTAGTCGCGCACGGTACATAATGACGAGCGCGAACGAGTTTCAAAGAGAGGCTTAGCTATCGGAGCCGCTCGTCGCCCGCTCGAAATATGTTATCCGCGTCTGTTGCGCTCCACGCGGGTCATCAAACGCTGCTTTTGCTTGCGACGAAGCGTTTTACGCTCTTTCAGGACTCGACGGCCCGTCAGAGCCGGCGAAACCCAATGAAAAACAGACGCGAACGGAGGAAGTGAATAAAAAAAGAAGGTGGAGAAGAGGAGCCGTTTCCTGCAGAGTACGTACGAGCACAACTGACGGATATTCCGTTATCAGCGACGACGCGTTATCTATTTGTTGCCGTGATATTACGAGCCCTTCGTTTTGTTTTCGTTTAAATTCCTCGTGAGCTTTGTGATTATCAGTCGAACCAGATTTCGATGCTTCCGGTATTATTAACGAACTTTTGTTGTCCAATATCGAACAAACGATCGCCGTAATTAACAGATCCCTGCACGTGAATCGCTGGATGACCAAGCGAAAGAGTTTCAGCGATCAATTTGCGAGGATGATAATCGTCCAGAAATCTTTGAGTCATCGTGATTCAGAAACTCCGCTGGTTTTTGCATTAACTTCGAGACGCGTAAAAAAAATTAGTAATTCGATTTCTTGACTAATCCTTAACTCTTAATTATTTATCATTAATTTGATATATGCGATGATATGGATTTAAGAAAATTCATTCTGTGGTATATGTAAAAATGAAAATCGACAAATTTTTACGGGACAAGATAGTAAAAAAGAAAGTAGAAGAGAGTGGAGGGTAGCGTCGTTTTCGCTCTTTATGTGTAAATAGCCGGTCTCCGCTTTTATTCGCTCTCTTCCGAGTCCTTCCACCGGGCCATGGGGATCAAAGGGCTAATACAATTTTTCTTGGTACCTCTTTTTAGTCGCGTACGTTCACGCTTCAGCGAGCGCGCGTGAAAGAGTGAGAGAGAAACAAGACCGAGCGTAAATAAAACAGAAAGAGAGTACGTATAAGTAACTCTGCGGCTCGTGAATAACATTCGGTGTATAAAATAAACGCGCGCACGCCGCTTCGGGGACAAAGGGCCTTTAGTGGCAACCAGTGTAAAAAAGACGTCGACGGAGAGAACGGGAGAGCGTTAAGAGTGGGCCCGTCGTGAAAGAGAGAAGAGAGCAAGGAAAAAAGTGGGTGCATACCCCTTTTCAGGGCCCAGGACGTTTCCGAACGTGAACGGCGCGGCACGGCAGGATGACGTTCGTTCTCATCCGTAACCCGAGACGTGTAATTAGGAGCATCGGACCAAGATGAATAGCCAAGAGGCCGGTGGGGCAACAGGCGAAAGAAGGAAAAGTGGGACCAAGAGGGGATTCTATGCCTATGCCGTACCCATGCCCGACCCCGTCACCGTCCCATCCACCGACGCCCAAGTTTCTAAGTATATACGTGTGTGTGCATCGACAACTCCCCCCGTTAGCTGATTCGAATAGAGCCCCGTCAAAGTCGAGCACGGATCCCGTTTAAGCTGCACCAAATTCTCCTATCACATCCTAGAACATTAGTTATGAATTTAGTTTTCTCGATAATTGAATGAAATTCTTATGCTTCTTATTAATCTCAGTTTCCAGCTATTTTAGCAATCGATATTTCACACAGACTTAAATTAATTTCGATTAAAACAATTTAGAGGAAGCTTATAATCTCTAAAATGTAAACTTGTAATTATAATTCACTTTAGCATGTACATACGTGTCTTAAAATATTTAGACAACGATATTGCATTCGGAGTATCAATTATAGTTTACATCAAAGTTCCGCTGTTGAAAGATAAAAAGGAATTAAAACACTGGCCTCTGTTTGTCATTACATGAATGGGAAGTTGACGGACGTTTATCAAGCGACTGATATTTTTTACAGCCGAGACTGAGGATGCCTGATTGGAGCATTTCTTGCTGTATCGTCATATACACTAATTAAACGTGAACTAAAACACACACATGGACGCGTACGACTTGGCCGTCGATATTAGGTAGGTGGATACATGGTACGGCCTCCCGAGTTTCCGCCGAGTCTGCGTATATTCGGTTTCTAGGTGTGCATGGCTATCGAACCGGTTCTCCTGTCTGAGAGAGCGAGAGAGAGAAGCGGTAGCAGTGGGTTACCGGCCGGCATCATGGTCGATGGAGAGAGAGTCAGCATCCAGCAACATCGGGGCTATCGTTTCGGGGACCCGAATATTCGCGGCGCGGCGATGAGATACACGTGAGAGATCGGTAGGACCGATTCGACCAACCGATTGCAAATTGGAGCCGCTTTTCGGAGCGTTAAAGGGCCATCGATACCGGGCTTTGCCCGGTGCTCTCGACCTCCTGCCAATGTCCGATATACACTTCCGTCTCCAATTTGCCCGTTCCTTTACTCCGTTTCAACTCTATCCTCGAATCGACAAATAACGTCAATGATTTCTTATACATTGCTCGTGATGAAATCTGTTCTAATATCACGAAATTACGTATTCCGTAGAGGATTCGAGACTGGAGCACGCTACCCTATTAATATTCATTTTCAATTCCCTACTCCTGTTATTAATGAAAGTCAATGAAATTATTATAAATCATATCTTCATTATTTAAAACTAGACATTTATTTCCGATTCCAGTTGCGTTAATTTTTTAATGTATTAATTCACTGACCAGTGCCGAATCAATATATGAAGCAAATAACTTGTATGCCTAAGAATCAAGATTGTTAACTGTATTACATTTTACTTCGAAATGTAATTAAAGAGCGTAAGATGCTTGGAAACAAGATTAATTAGAGACAAAAAGGAGCGTGGACAAACGTTTTGATACGGAATTACATTTACAGTCGCGAGACGGTATACTGTTGAAAAAAGATCGGAGCGTGGCAAAAATTGCTCAAAGCGGCCGTTTGTCTTGGAGCCGGGCTAGTAATAGGGCACAATTAACTGTAATTATAGCGCCGCCGGTGAAAGAAAGAACCGATCCTGGTCGGAAAACCTCGAAAGGTTGAACAATCTCTAACGACGTTTTCCACTTATAACGGCGTTTCCGTTTGCGCGAAGAGAACAGAAAGGGATCCTGCGAATTGTCGTTATACATATATGGGTACTCACGAAGGCAGAGAAGAAGCGTAGCTGCGTCGAGACGCCGCATCCTTTCCAATCGTTTCCAAACAGGCCTATAAATGTTCACTCGTCGGGGGGATGAAAACTAAGCAGGAAGACGGTCCCGATCTTTTCCTAAAATCTTCACGTCGCTGTCATTCTATCTCCTCCTTTCGCGTAGTGTTTTCCTACGAACGAACAAGACACACCGACGCAGAAAACTCAACCGAAGCGAACCGAACACCACGAAGCGACGCGCGGCACTGAGGGCCGCTAACCCACGCTGCAACTAAACGACCCCTGTGCTCGGGGTTCACGGCCGACTTCCATGCTCTTGACGTTGCCATCAGATGCCAGTAAAAACTGGTATCTAAAGCCGGTTATCGACGTACGCGGCAGATTCGAGGGGATAACTGCGGGTTCTTGTCCGGGATAAACCGCGCGAGTTTTCAAATTCAATATCGTTGCTTTTTTATCAAACTTGAACGATAATATAGACCTTTACATTTTGGTGTTAGAAATTCAATCACTATTTTTCACATAAATTGAACATACATGTATCTCAATTACAATATTTTCAATTGGATTATTCTTATCAGAGAGTTCTTATAAAGTTTTGTTCAAGATTATATAGTATATTAATAAATGAAACTCGAAGTATTTTAATTCAGACTTCCAAGGTTTAGAGAAATCATCTCTTTAGAGGAATCAGGGTAAACAGAAAATGGACAATAACTACACTTCAAATTCGATATATTATTTCGTACATCTTATGACACGGTTCGTCGTTGTTTTCTCCTCATTAGTCGTAATACCGTTAGCGTTTAGTATTTATAATAACAATCTAAACAGTCATATTTACTTACATTCCTACATTCGCTAAATAATTTTTTTTTGTTCACTTTACATATTCATGTTTTTTTTTTCATAATTCACCATGTCTTCCACTATTATATGTATACGCAGCGGACTTTCGTTTACACTCGGACTGTTTAACAAAAAGTCGAGAAGGTAAGTTTCGATTAGCACTCCCGATGGAGTACACGCGCTTTTTATTTACATCACTAAGGATTTGAAAACCTTGACTTAGATAGTGGAATCAGGGTAACGTAACTTTGAGGATGATAATGGACTCTTTTGAATATCTTATCGAAAATGGTACATATGTACACAGACATTAAGTGTGATCTCGTGTATATGTATAACTTATGTATGTACACGCATACATAAGTACACAAGATTCGCATCGAAATCGTAACGCTAGGACTTACTTCCTTCTCGCTTCCCACGAATTCCAACTAGCTAAGTTGATTCCTTTGAATGGGCTCAAGGCTATTTATATTATATACATCAGAGTTCTCTACACCAAGAGGTCCTTTGACGAACGGTCCATCCTCGTCAATTATAAAATTTATGACTCCTACCGAACATGATACGTTTACCAAAAGACGTTAACGCGTCCGCGCATACGAACGGTTATCACATGTAACACTGACGTAGAAGTAAATGGTAAAAAATATTCCGCATACGGAAACTAATACTTCCATCGATCTTTGTTTCCGAGATAATTAGAATAATTAACGTAGGAATTAATGTATATCGGAGGAAGAGAAATACTTAATGAGATTCAAGATAATTACCAAATTGCACGTAAGGAGATAAAAGAAACACAAAAATTGTAGCGTAAGCGTCGAATATTAATTCTTACCTACTGGTTCAAAGGTCTCACTTAATTTTTTAAATGGAATTTTAAGTCTTTTAAGTAAGTACAACGTGTAAATTGTATGCAACGATACGTGTGATTTCGTCGTTGTACTCATTTACTTTGGTATCAGAAATTTTATCAATCTTACCAAAGGAATTCTAGTTTAACAATATTTATTTGAACTTAGCATGCAAGAATTAAACTGTCGACGATTTTTCGAAACGATTACGTCGATTCGAATTCAACTACGTGATCGTTTCGAATACAAAGGAAACTGATCAAATAGGTATTCGCAGAATACCTGATGATTTCACGATATGTCTAGCTCCAAAAGAACTGTCTTTGGCTGCATCTTTGCATCGTACGAAACGACTTGCCATCCGATTTTCAAAATCCACCTTAACTATTGTCGATGATATGTATCGAAGCCTTCACGTTGATAAGGAATTCACTTTCGTTCGCCCCATCCGGCGCTATTATAAAACCAGGAGGATGCACTCTCATCCCTCGTTTTGTTCCATGTGTTGTCTAAACTACTTCCACTCCCATCCTATACACAGTTCAAGAAATTTTTCTTTTACGATTAAACGAATCTTGAAAATTCAACGAAATACGTACAAAAAATCTATTTTATTGCAATAAAAATCTCAATTAGCCGATTTCATTCGACGTTTGAATTGAAATTAAATCATGCTTACCACAACGTTTAGCTGATGCGTGGCGGGCGACAAGTAGTCCATGTTAGTGTAATAAGACGAATAATTTTGGTAGCATTGTTGCTGGGAGGCGGTTGTTGTCCACGCTAACCTCTGATGATCACCGGGGAATCCACCCCCGCTCTCCGTTACGGCCGGGCTCCAGATACTACTGCTGCTGCCGCCGCTGCTGTACACGGTTCCCCCTAACTGCGAACGATGCACTATCCGTCAGAAAGATACCCGTACCCATTGGGGGTAAAGCTACCCCTTCGATGAAAACTGCGGCAAGTAACTTACGCTAGGCGGGGTTGTACTGGCTGCTAACAACAAACTAGTCGCGCTTCCTGCGGGTTTGTACTGAGGCGAATCCCTAAGCAGCGCCGGGGAACTGGCTGCCGAGCCACCTGTACCACCGCTTCTATACAGAAAAGTAAAAACTATAAAAATTAGACGTTACAGGTCTGCATCTTGAAAGCTGCTGCATTTTCATAAGATATAATACATTAGGGTAAGATGCTATTGTAAATAAAAGGGAAAATTTAGTTCTCGTTCATTCATTAGTGTTCGTTTCATAATATTCATTGCTTTTATAAAAATATAGGTATTAAAACTTAGAAAAACAGTTTAAACATCTCTCTTAAATGAAAGCGTGATGAGAATTGATTCGTTCGATTATTACTTTTATAAGACAAAAATTGATAAAACTTAATTGATGATATTATAAAATCGAATGTTACAATTAAAATGCAGGTGTAATGTGATTTGACTTGGGAAATGGGTGAAAATAAAAGTCGATCTGTTCCTTATTCCACTATTCAGCCAATTCTAATATCGAGGGTCGCTTCTAATGTGTGAAAGAGAGAAAAAGAGAGAGAGAGAGAGAAGCTGGCAAAATGTAATTGGATCTTTATCCGAGATAAATGTAGGTTTATACGCGTGAATGACATTTACAGTGGTGTCGTGGCGGGCACCGCGGCAGCGGGTGTGGGCGTGGTGGCAATCGAAGGACTTTTTCCAGAGGGCGGATTGTTGCTCGGGTTCCCGGAGGGTTTCTTCGACCTCGGCGCTTTGTCCTGTTGCTGCTGCTGCTGCTTCTGCTGTTGCCTGCACTTGGCTCGACGATTTTTGAACCACACCTATAACACGCCCGATTTATGTATGATTGTTGTCGGAGGGATCAATGGTATCGGCGGCAATCATATTAATCTAAATTGTTACGACGTTTCTCAGTTATTCGATGGTTTTCTTTGTTTTTGCAAACGAGTGAAAGCAGCTTTCGATCCGATATTTTTGCTTTCGAACGCTATGAGCCAGGACGGGGAACGAGCATGATACGATGTGTGTACAGAGATTTCACAAAGCTGGCGTAATAGCCAATTATAAGGGAATGCGAGCGCCGTACGCAACTATCAATTACTAATGAAGGCTGGCTTCAGTAACACGGGTGGAATAGTCGCTGGTGTCCGTAACGTGCAACGAAATTACGAGACGCAAACAGATCGACGTACGAGCGATCCTCCCTCTTAATAGAATAATTTCGCCGGCTCATCCCAACGCTGATACGGCACGCGATCTTCGTCATCGTGAAACATCATTCAGATTAACGACGTCGATAATATTGATAAATTGTAAATTTCTCGATGACTATGTATACTTCACTCTAAAGATATACGTATTGAATAAATAAAACAGTTTGTAAACGAATTAAACCATCGCTATTTTAACTTTTGAGGAGGATCAAAAGTATAGTTAGTTTTTTATTTATTTAGTTAGACAACAGTTGCCGAAATTTTCGCTGTTTCCGATAGACTCGGGTCCGTCCTTCGATCCATAGTTCGCCCTCCTAGATTTCCAGGACGGAGAACGACCTCTACGTAGAAAAGGATACGAACGAACGAAACCGACTGGAAGAACGAGGACAGGGAATAAAGAGGTGGTGGAGGCAACGGGTGAGGGTGAAGAGGGAGGATGAGAGGGCAAAAGGAGGAGAGGGAGGTAAAGAGAGAGAAGGAGAGGAGCCTAGAGAAGCCCTGCGCGATCAATGTTAGAAGCGGAGAGGTGAGCTTGGGTTTCTACGGATTTTCTGGGGAACGGCACAAGCAGCCCGCGTTCTTCCACTCTCAAGCTGCTCTCCATTATTTTGTTGCAAAATGAATTTTAAGACATATTGAGATCGTATTCTATACAATTTTCATAGTATAGTATAGTTTGAACAGAAAACTTACTTGCACATTGCGTTTAACGAGTCTGTTTCTATTCTGTTAACCATAAAACCCGTTAAATGTTAACCTGATATTAGAATCACTATTCTTGAATCCATCTTCAATTAAATGTAGCAAAGTATAACAAAATACACGTACTTTCGTGATCAGTAATTGCCTATCAGCAATTCTTATAAAATGTGTACATCATAAATTATTAACAAATTTCAAATATTCTTAAAATATGAGATTAGAAAAACTACTTCTTCATATTGTATAATATTATATTTATGACATATAATGAAACTTTTAATCGATTCTATGGTTATGAGGCACAATTGTTATCTAATAATAAGAAAAGTGATTTTTAGACACAGTGGTCCATCCCAGGCATTCCTTTGTACCTAACTTTCACAAAATATCTAATACAATCACGCTGGCCGGTTGCGACCAATTGAAAAGCCACGCAGGGGTCAGAAGGCAACTCCGGTTCCGGAATGAACGAGGAACGTGCAGAAGACTATGGATCCGGTTCGGAGCCATTCAATTCATTTACGAAGCTGAGACCAGGTGCGTAGTGTTCCGCAATTGCGGATGCGACGCGCCCTTTTTCCGCCCATGATGAGGGTGGAATATGCACGGGCACGTTCCCGGAGCTCGGCTGGCTTCGAAAGTCGATTCGGTCGACACGAAGTCGGTCGTCACATCGTCGCAAACAATTCCACCAGTCGGCATTCAACGTCGTTCGTCACACGAATTTCCATTTCTACGATCTCGATCGAAACATTTTTCACGTTACATGCCACGCGTCGGAAGAATCCGTTCGAAAGTTTTCAACGAACCGACACGAATTTACGCGCCTACGGAACGGACTACTAACTCGGTTAACACCCGCTATCCGAGAAACACGAGCATATCCACGGTAAATCGATGCTGTCTACCGTATCCGCGTGCCGACACTGCCACCCTTCGGTAACGAGACACCCCCGGGCCGACGTGTGTGTATCGGGTCGTAACCAACCGGTGCAATGTCCTTGCACTTTCACGAAATCTACACCTATGCTTCAACGTACCTGCACTCTAGACTCCGGCAGATTGATCTTCATCGCCACTTCCTCCCGCATGAAAATATCCGGGTATTTCGTTTTCGAGAATAGTCCCTCGAGAACGTCCAACTGCGCTCTGGTGAATGTAGTTCGTTCCCTTCGTTGCTTCCTTGGATTACCTTTAACAACAGAGTTACACGATTTTATAGATTTTCGTTCGTCTGTATACTAAATGATTCGATGAACGATTGAAGTTCATTTGTCATTTGTAAAGAGAATTAAAATGAAACGTGTAAACTGCATTTTGTCATTTGTTAGAAGTAAATGGAAAATGAAGAAATACATATATGATATACGTGGATGTACAATATAAAATAGAGAGGGGCACTCACAGTAGTATGACTCACCGGCGGGAGTGCAACCGGGATAGCCAATGGTGGAGTGTAGGGCCTCGATCGGTGGCATCCCTAGCGCGCTCACGTAAGGGTTGGTCTTGAGGGCGCCGTAGGGCCCGGCCGCGGACGCGCCGAACGCGGCGGGCCCGAATAGATCGGAGGCCGAGGTGGTGGAGGCGGCGAGGCCCCCGAGATCGGTGGCGCCGGCGCCCCCGCTGCAGCCGGAAGTACCGCCGAGGCTGTTCGGCCACATCACCACCCCCTCGGCCCCCACCACGACCACCACCCCGCCTCGCGGCCTACCCTAAACGAACCTCCTCCGATCCTCGAAATTACCCGCTGCTTCTGAAATCAACAATTTTTATTCACGTTAAACTTTTGTCACGATTGTTATGGAATTTCCGATTTTTTAGTGATGAAAAGTAAGAATGGTTATACAATAAATAAGCACAAAACAGGAGAACTTGATTCGTCTTCACTTAACTGGATACTATTACATAAGACTGTTCTTCTGTTCTTTTAATTAAACGCGCGTGTCTGTTACCTCACAAGGGTGACTTCCAGACGATCCCTGCACTTTCTACCATATAACTATTATTATAACCGCTCTATGCCTGAACTGTTCATAGCACGTACAAACATATCAGTGTGAAAAGTTTTCTAACACATTACCTTAATAATGATCTATTGTTACAATAGATTTTCATGTACTCTACGACGTATTTCATTTCTTACTGTTAGTTCATATACCACACATATTTTATAAAAATCTTTCTCTTTCATGCAGGTATCATTCTAAAAGTCTTAGGATTACTATTGAATGAAACTAAGAATTGTTAACTGCAAAGAAATAAATGATCACTTTTTACTGTAAGTTACGTAAAAGAAAACTTGAACTCGTATGAGTTACCCGTTAGTTGTAAGGCTTGATACTTTTTCGAAGCGCGAGAGCAAAGGCAATCGAGAAACGGAAGTAGTGGATAACTGAAAGTTCCCGGGCCACTTTATGCCAAATAATATCGAAACCGATCGCGGAAGACAGGAATAGGTAGGACACGGTCGGCAGCTGGTCGCACAGCGGATAATCCGAGCAAGAAGATGCAATACGACTCCGGGACGCTTTGCGCCCTCTCCCCCTGGATTTGACCTCGTGGACAACGGGCTAATTCCGAAAACGTTTTCGAAAACCGAGAACCGACGCCGAGGAAGGCGGGATGACGTTAGCGGTTTCGTCGCTGTGTACGCCTTTCCGTTTCACGTTTTTAGCCGCTACACTTAAGCCGCGTTTTATCCTCTCCGATTACAAAGTCAAGAACGACGACGACGACGGTCGGTATCGGCCCCGTTCTTCTTACCGGGCCTTTCGATCTCGCACCATCGCCAGGGCTTATTAATTTTATTTGCCTTGCCCGTTTATTACGTCCTCGCATCTGCGACGTTGTCCACTGGAATATGTATTGTTCTTTCCCTCTGATCGTGGGAAGGGGAGTCGCCGCGCATATGTTTTGGATTAAGCTAATCGTTCGGTAATTAACATGTGCGACGTGAAAAACAATCGGATGACGACGTCAGAAGAGGAACAAATATTTCCGTTATGACTCTGATCGGTTCAAATGACGAAGTATATCATCTAACGAAGTTATAAAATCGAAGACGCAACAATTTTATAAGGAAAACAAAATTGTGAAGTAGTGTAAGTGAAAAGAAATTTTCTCTGTGTTAAATAATACATATAAAAAAATCTCCATTTTTTAACGTACTCTATATCCCAAATAATTCATCAGCACGAATTGTATGGAAGATTAATCCTTGGAATAAAGAAAAATAAATTATTCTAGTTTTCATCATAAAAAAGAGATTACTTGCAATTTTCAGTAACGCACAATTTTATCACAAGAAATTAGCAAATTTCTCAGTACTTCGGTTATTAAAGGCGATTGCAAACTGACTCGCGAAGAAGATACAATTCAGAGCAAGGATCTCGCAGTTCGTAGGCAGAACAATCTTCGCGGTGCAAGCGCGCGCGGGATTCCGTTTCAATGGTACACTCGCGCGAAATTAAATTTCGTATTCGACAAACCCGCTTTAATAAAGCATTGTTCTCGGGTTTTCGATGGGTGGCGCAACGGAAACCACCAGAGAACTACACGGTCTTGAAAAGGAACGAGTACCACGCTAAGGGTGCTCGCACGATCACTCGAGCGAAAGTTGCTTCGCGCAAATATAGATGAAACACCCACATCGTCCCCCTCCCGCACGGAGAGAACACTCGACTTTTACATGTATATCGTAGCACGCTGCGTTCATCATCGGAAGTTCTATTCTGTTCTCGAGTCAGTTCTTGAACACGCTTCGCCACGCGGAAACTATTGTTCCACTAACAAGTCGTATAACATTTTAACTTCTGTCGATCATGACAATGAACAAAAAGTTAGATCGTAGAGATTTGTTGCCCGAAGAATATGAATTAAAAAATTTACATTGATTGAAACAACATTCCTTATTTCATGACTGTTAAGGAATGACACATTTTTTAATTCTCCAAACGGAAGGAACGGAACGTGCTTTAACACATTTTCACTCGAAAACGTTCTTCGCATTACCATTGAAAATAAATGATACGATTAACTACTGTGAAAACGAAAAGTGAAGAGCATAGGACAATCTCGAAATAGTATAGACGCACTACTTGTTCGTTTAATTACGTTTTTTGTCAGGAGATCGTTCCGCCGAAATGAAGTTTCCGTTGAAAAGAGAATCCATAAAGCGCGGCCAAGCTTCCCCGTGACGCCTCTCTTTTTCCCGGCTCGCTATATTAAAATTTGGCCCGGTATGAAAAGGAGGCCGACGGAGGAAGAAACCACGGACCTAGTTTCACTCTTTCTCTCTCTCCTTCTCCGTCGAGGGTCCTCGTGAAGTAAGTCAGGCGCGAATCTCTGTACTTTTGTGCGCTCCTGCGCGCTTTACACTAGCCATAAAGCGCTCGTTACGAGCCACCAACGCGGCTGAGAAACGAGCAAACACAATCCTCCGAAAGGCAATATTCGCGGTTTCAATTCTTCCAGTTCTAACCACTTGTTCATTCTTCGGGTGTACCTGTTTCGTTTTCACCAACATTTAATTGAACTCGCGAGCGATCGGTTTGTAAGTTCCGATTCTGATCATCGATAACGGGTTAGCGATTGTCGAAACAATGGAGTGGTCCGTCGCGGATAAAGAAACTCTATTACGTAGCCGGGCGCACTTATTTACACAGTCGTGATATTAAAAGCCCGTGGCGAAATCGGAATGAGGGGCGGAGCGAGCACTCGTGAGAATCCTCTTCGATGGCTACGAGAGAATTCTCTTTATCTTTGTGCAGTTCGGCGCACACGGGACAATGCACTTGTTACAGGCCGCCAAGTGTGGACAAAATGCCCAAGTCGGTACTCGATTGGCCCTCGAGGGTGCTTCAGTAGTCTACAACCCTGCTGTACACCGGCAAACGCAGAAGAGAAAGCCGTGGCCGCGAGCCCAAAGAAGGACGGAGAGGTTGCCTTTTCCACCCTCCCCCGATGAATCGATCTTCCCGCTGCAACCAGCCGTCCCCCACCAACCACCCTCGCAGCCCTTCGCCGGTCCGGCCCTACTGCGAACACTTTGTGTTACCAATCGGCATACGCATATAGCACAGCAGCACGTTGTCCTTAATGACTGTTAAATCCCCATTATTGCATTCCTCGAGGGTAGAGATTATGAATTCGATATGCAAAACGCTCCGGTGAACTCAGCCACGTGCGATTATTTTTCTCTATTGACACCTCGCTAAATCGACTTATGTCATTATCGCAAACTTAAAATATGATTTAAATTTAAAAATCGTGAATGATAAAATTTTCATAGAGTAGCTCCTGTATGCATCACAGAATTTTAGAAACGGTTTTAGAAAAAAAGTTCAGAATTTTGAAACGATTATAACACGGATTAGTGTCAAGCAATGGATATATTTTTCATTCTGTTTATTTTGTATGCACTATTTACATGGTCACAGACAACTTTCTACTTGTTTGTTTTGAGTCTAACAATTATGGTGAACATCGGTAAAGCGATTGGTAAAATATAATAAAAAGGGACAGAATAATTTCTGAAAAATCGTCCACGGCGATATTTGCTAATGTAAGGAGAATGAAGAAGCCTGGTGAGGCTTCGCGAAGTCTGGAAGCGCAATCTGTGCACCGGGAGAATTATATTCTCGCAGCACGAGGAGTCTCTATCGCGGAAAGTTAAGTTCGGGGCCGCATTGTTTCCAAGAGTGTTTGCACACAACCGCATTGTTCCTGAAGAGCGTACTCTTGCTCCGGGGCGGTCCACAATGGACGTGCACCGTACGTACACACCTACATATCTAGATATCGTGCGCAGCTTGTGCGTAAAGAGAAGGGCGCGCTGTTCCGGGAAAAGCCGGGAAGCGTTCGAATATGCCGGATATTAACCGATTTTACCAAATATGCACTTTAAGAACCCATCATTTCTGTCCGGACTGTTACCGAGCAATCTCTCCCTTTCCGTTGTTTTTTTTTTCCTCAGATTAAATCTCACTAAATCTGAGAATCAGGTGTTGAAACGGCATTGAGGTTGTCATGAATAAAATTCACTGACGACTGAAAAATTATCTAAAAATTTTCGTAATCTTTGTCTTCCCTTTGAATCGACCGGATCGTTAGACATTGAAACAGTGGCAAGGGCCTCATTCAGCGACGCAGCTTTCCACGAATCGCCCTCGACGGAGAAATAAAAGGTCGCGTTCCCGATACTCGGAAGTCGAGGGCGAGTTTTTCCACGGAACAAAAAACCCGTCCACGAACTGTCATGTACTAACCGGGACCGAATACTTGAATACCGTCACTAAGAGGTGGTATCCTCGTAGCCGCGAGGAAACGTTCCTTCGCATTGAATGCAATTTTAGCCCCGGGAGGACGCCCGTTGTTGTCCGTTCATTGAGCGTAAACCTTAATTCCCGTGGAAATGCCACGAGATAGACGTATATGTACACGTAGACGCATACTCATCTTCTACTGGCCTCTTCCTCTCACTCGAATGGTTCAGTTTTATTCCATGGACGAAAGAAGAAAAAGATTTCAATGGGGTTGCACTTTCTTCTCGACGAGGATGAGCTCTCCTTTTTTTCTTCCTTTCCTTTCTTCCTTTAACTTCATTCTTTCCCTCTCTATACGACGATCTACGAAACTTACTGATTCCTTCGAGCCAATTTCGAGGATGTTTTGTTCCCCAGGTCACCGTCCACGTGGTGCCCTCGCCGCTTTCCTTTTCCAAAATGCTAGACCTTCTGATCGATCGCGCGTGATACTATCTTCAGTCACTTTCAAGTTGTACCTGATGACCGAAGTCAGTTCTTTAATAGAAGATTTCCACATCGTTGGATTCCCGAGCGTTCTTCCACCGATCATCATCTCGTTCTGCGATCTCTTAACAATTAATTCCTTTTTCGGAACACGATTACCACGAGACGCGCGAAAACCCGACTCGTACTAGGATTCGGAGCGTTCTCCACTCCCGTCGAGGATGCTCCACCGCGTGTACACGACGAAGAGAAGGTCCTCCTCGTGGAAGGCGGACCTTAACCGGGAGGGAGGCAAGCCAAGAAGATTACCGTAAGCAGATTATTTCCGTGGAAATCCTGCTGGCCAACTCTCCCGGCACGCTGCCACGTTGCTCGACCGTTTTCGGTGCCGAATATTCCTGCGGAATCGCAGCCACGAGCGAGCAGTGTATCGTTTTCATCAGATTTCTCTCGAATACCTGCGCTTCCGCGACTCCCGGTTTCGCCCTCCGCAAGCATTTCACTCGGACGGTTCAGTGTCTTCGGTGTTGCTCACGTTACGTTGTTATCAGTTATCATTGAACAGTGATATATTTTTCATCAATGTGATCAGAGATTCTCGTTAAGGAAATTATTATCGAAGCTTGATACGAATTTCACGTGGAGAAGGTATAGTGTAATGAATTTATTAGGATGTCGTCGCGTGAAAATTAGACAACGTTATCCATCTTGAATCGGAATGACAGCGTTTCGATTGGAACGAAGCTAGTTTCTGCACGTAAACGCAGTTTATGAGCCGCTTGATAAAACAGCGATGGCGGGAAGAAATACGAGGAGATTAAACGGTTGTCCCGGCTGCAACGACACGCGGTTATTTAGCTGCACCCCACTGACAACGAAGGTCCGCCGATGGCCTGACGAAGAGCTCGGACTCGGTGCAATTAATAAAAATCCATGCATCGAGACTTCCACGAAAAACAGTGTTACGAATCAAAATTTATTTTCCATCTTCATCGCTGAATTATTTCCCGAAAAGTAACAGCAATTCGTTTTACTTGCTATGTACAAAAATCCTCCAATCACAACTAAAGTATTAGATTGACGGGATGTAATTTCACTTATAATTCTCGTGGACTTTTCAATCAAATAATTTATCAATTAGCTTCACATATTCTTAAATGATTAAACACTTCCATTATTCCATATGTGTTAACTATTGTGAATCTTAAAATCTGCAAATTTTTTATATGCTTATACATCTTAGGTACTGTTTTAAATAATTTGCTCGACTGTTGTGCAATTTAATCATAACTGGTTTTCAAACACAATCTGATTATACAAAATCAGCTAACGTTTTAAATATTATATTGCTAATAGTGTTAGAATACCTTTTAATGAAATTGCAACATCTTTGTTACGAAAATTATTCTAACTCTAATTTAATCTTCGATTTGAATCACAGGATAAATAATGATACATAGATTATTTCTCACCGAATTAAAACTAAAGAAAGAAGATTCGTGCGCATCGGCTTAACATTCGACCTGTCGATGAAGCAGCGCGTGTGCCCTACAGTTACCCACATTGGAAAAGCCCGAAACGACCAGTCAGTGAAATCATTTTTTTTCGTTTCCAGAAAAAGTTTCGCCGCTGTTTGGGAATATCGGCGCGCGTGTAAATTTATATTCTCTCTTTGGTCGGATGAAAGCTCCGCGTATTATACGCCTCGCCGATTAAACGCTGCTATTTCCCGAGGTTTTCACGTACCGCAGCCCTCGAATTTGGTCGATTCGGTTCGGTCGACTGTCCTTCTACACCGCAACCCTCTCTGTCATCGCTCTCGCATACCTTTTTTCATTCACCGCGAGAAGTAAATGTACGGTTTACGGTCAGCATCTATGTATATAAAAATTAACACCGCGCCGCCGTGTGCTTTTCAAACAAAAAGGAGACTCATCAGTCATGAGAACAAAAAGTATCCAGTTTTCCAACAAGAAATTACAAATTGTCAACCGATTTGCAAGTCAGCTAATTTATGTTTCTCTTTACGTGACAGTTTATGCCAATTATGTTATGTCAAACAAGCGAATTTCCTGAATCATTGTGAAAATAACTTACAACTCACAGTTCGTTATCTCTGCAAACTCCCAGAAATGTCAATGGAGGAGTAAAAATAACAATCGTTGTCCCACGGTTCACAAGCGAAACGGTACCGCGGCGTGTTTCGAAAGCTTCGCAGGTCGTAAATCACGAGATTCCGATGTACATACTCCCAAAGGGAAGCCCGGTTACTGTTACGAAACGGGTAAACATCCGATCGATAGGCACGCGCTGACGATTCTTCGCTGATCGTAGACGAGCTCCGTCGCAGCGAAAGTTTTTCCTAATTTTATTACCTTCCGAAGAACTCGTTCAATTCCATCAGACTCTTAAAAATTCGTATCGCTTTCATTCACGCGCAGAACAATTGAATAGAATAAAAAAATCGTTGCCATGGAACAAATCGAGACGTATTTTCCTTTCAAATTCTCTTGCGAAGGTTTCTGGTGGCACTGTCAAGGAAGTTGACGAATCGAATTAAAATGACACGAGGGACACTTAGAAACTCGTCACGGTTGCCTCGACGAGTTCGTTGAGAAGATTGTTCGGATTTCGGACACTCGCGGACACGATTCGGAGATTGTTTCCGGGACAATGGTAAACAAGGTACTCACCCGTGTTCCGTGGGAACGTTCGAAGGCTGCGTCGACGAGGGTGTTCCTGTCGCGGAAAGGGGTAATCCTCGCCTAGGAGTCGGTCAGATTCGAGGTGGTCCGTGCACCGGTACCGGTCGCGTTCGAAACTCCGAAAACAAAGGTTATAGGTGTGTATCCCAGCGATGTTTGGCACGGTTCTACGGGCACGGACACAACCACCGGAGGCACGAGCACGAGCACGGCACGGTACGGCACACACGCTCGTCGTCGCTGCTGCTGCTATCGTCACGACGTTTTCGCACTATCGAGGACGCCTGATAGGGAGGTATATCACGGATATGTAGACCGATAATGACTATTCTATTCCTTAATCTGGCCGCGTCCCTCTATCTGTCTTTCTCTCCGTGTGTCCCTCCGTCTCGGTTTCACCTCGCGGGGTCCCTCTCCCTCTGTCTCTTTCTCTCTCTCACTGTATATCCGGCGAGCGATTCCGTGTGCGGGATGTGGGACAGACCCGGGACAGATGGACAGGGATAGACGGTTGGTAGAGAGAGCAGTGAGCGGCGGCTATTATAGCAGGAGGGCGTAGGAGAGCCTCGGCTCAACTTTTCACGAGAACTTTAGTTGTTACGGATCGCTCTCTTGGCCGAGGGGTTATGCGCGAGGGGGGCGCTTTCGGCTCTCGACTCGGTTCCTCGCGCCGCTGGAGACCGGGAACGGACCGGTCGAGGGGCAGTGACGAAGGGGTGGCATCCAACCACGGAAGGGATGGGGTGCCCTCCGCAAGTGGGGGGTAGTGCCTAACAACCGCGGGAAGGACGAACGACTCCGTCCGGTAAACCGAGAGAGAACGAGCGAGTTTACAACGGGCGGTGGAAACGGGACGAGGGAACTCGGTCGCGTTTGCGCGAGGGAGAAGAGAGGGGAGATGGTTCAACGAAAGGGAAAGAGAACGCGAGCGAATCTGGCGTGCGTGCGATGGAGTAAGGGTAACCCGAGAAAGAGCGGAGGTTACGATCGATCAAAGTGCAAGCGAGACGGACGGCGGGCGACGACGTGATTCCGCGTCTGCTCGTGGAAAGTTGGCGTGGCTAAGGCCGTGGCATCGGAACCTAAACAGGGAAGTGGGGAACCAATCGGCTATGGGTGCGCGATGCCACCTAACCGGCCGCGATGGCAACGATTCCACGCCAAGTCGCCGCGACGTTACGTACAGTCCGTCTCTAAAAATATATCCGAGCCCGGAATTCCTCTCTTACTCTTCCGCCCTCCCCTCCGTCTTGCCCTCACCCGGTGACTCTTTTCCTTTCCCCTGTGTTTCTTCGACCCGTTCGAAGGAGACGTAGATTTGGAAAAAATTGACGAACACAGGTACTGGAGATTCTGTCTTGAGACGAGAATCGCGGTTGAGAAAACTGATCGTTCCCAAGCCACTGTCTCTCCAATTTAATTTCAACTATCTAAATCGACATAACTTCGATAAATCAACGTCATCGAAGTCCACGTCGATTACATCTGACGATTCCGATTAGACGATTCTACTTGCACGCAGGCACAATCACTAAAAATAGGAGACATGTTTACGGTGCATCGTGAATATTGAAACGTGCGGCACGATGTTGTAGGCTCGCGACGAGCAAAAACACGTTTTACAAGATCGTACGATGAGTGGATGCGTCAAGTAGTCGCGAGAACGAGAAACTGTTGGACAGGCCACGGCGTGTTTGCGAACGCTCTTTAACACCGCGTCGTTGGAATCGAATCCGACGAAAAGTTCGCGGTGTAATCTCGTTACAGCGGCAAAAGGAACCCGTTCGACGCGCGCCGGTTATCTGCTCTTTTTTTCTCGAAACGTCGATCCCCGACAGCGATATAGGTACCCTCTCCTCCTTTCGTTACGCCCTGTAGCCAGGTGATAGCTACATAGCCTGGGCGTATACCCACAACATAGCAATTTAACTTGCTCACGTGCGAGCGGTTAATGCTCTTACGGGATTTCGAAAAGATCAGCTAGCATTACTATGCTATTAGCGTAGCTAAAACCGGCTTGCTTCCATAAACCTATACTAACATGCAGCCACTTTATTCACGCCAGCCCATTCACGAACTTTTAGCCAATTTTCCTTCATTGACCGATTGACTTGTCGCGCGACTACTCGTCGCAACACGTGACCCTCTTCTGTGGACCACCAGCGTTTTCTCCTCTTTTTTTTTTCTTCTTCGTTCTCTACTCACTTGTGAATTCATCGGTGTTTCGACACGGTGTCATCGTCGTTCTTATCCTACGCTCGTGTTTCGCTCCCGTTTATACGATTTCTTATGTCGCAATTTATTACAGAAATACACGCGATGAATCCAAGTATTTCTGATCGATGTATCTATCGCTAGATTGCTTCGTCAATAAAATGCTATGTGAACAAAACCCTGATCTTTGGATAAATTCAAAACAAATTATCATAAAAATTGGAAGATTGAAAGGAATTAAATTAAAAATCATATGCTCAACGCAATTAATTAAATCGTAT